TTTTTTTAAAATTATCTCTTTTGTTTTAATGTTTCGATTTTACTAGAAAAAATTTCTGAATCCGTCCTACTTCTTCGCCCCCCTCAATCGAATTTCGGGCTCCGTCCCTGAGTATGCTCACAGAGATCAACGCCAAATTCCAACTCCAAAAGCTAATTATGAAGACAAGCTCCAAATCCATCATAGTAATTAAGGACATTATTTGCTCCATCAACCTCGCCAATAGAAAGAAAATTAAACCAATAATTATGGCAAGACAGGATAGAACGACACCACGACGGAACCACCAACACCATCACCCTCTCCAGCATCTTGAACTTCAAAGACAGATTGTGATCCTGCTACGACAACGAAAGGATTTTTGTGTTCACCACCAACCCTGTCGAGAAACTCGATCCCGCATTGCTGCGCATGGGGAATGAACAAGCACATCCACATGAGCTAATATACTTTTTCGGCCCTAAAAAACTTAGGCTACGACGACGCCAATGTAGAGAACAACCTATCCAACGAGCTAAATGATGTAATTGAGGCGGTGGAGATGATGTTGGCGGACATCAATCAGGTGCTAATAAAGAATTGGTGCAGATTTTGAGAGGGAGAACATAGATGAACAGTAAATTTCCAATAATATCCCTAAAAAATTGCCTTCTAAGTTGCCTGAGGACCAAAATAGTTAAAAATTAATATTTCAAGGATGTAATTATCCAAATCAAAATGACTAGGACTAAAAACGTAAAATCAAAATAGTCGAGGGATCATTTTGATAATTTACTCTTCACAATAATTATGAGACTAAAAGTTTTTTTGAATATTTTCAAAAAAAAAAAAAAAAAAAAAAAAAGAAGAAAAAGAAAAAAGAAAAAAAGGAACAATTCCCATTGAAGGCACTCACAAGTCACAAGGCTCCAATTGTAAGCCCAGGCCCAACGACCTGGCCTTCACTGGACAGTAGTTAAAGTGCCGAAACCTAATTTTTGTGTTGCTAGGGTTCTTTCTCAAAGCTACCGGGGGTGCGTCTCTGCTTCTGTCACCATGAGAGCCAAGGTTCGATCTTTCCTTTGCCTTTAACCCTTTCATAAAAATATTACCTGTAAATTTTGAGCCTGGACTCTGTTTAAGTTTATATGCGAGAATTAATCTTTTATTCTCCTCTCCTTTGTCTTTGACAGTGGAAAAAGAAGAGAATGAGGAGGTTGAAGAGGAAACGCCGAAAGATGAGACAAAGATCCAAGTAGAATGGTTCGATAAGTTCCAAAAACAAAATTGGAGTAATTTGTTTTCGTTTGTTTAGAGTCTTTAGAGTATGAACTCAGTTCGTAATTCTCTCCTGTTTTGGTGATACATTTTAAAGTTTCAGTTTTATGCACTTGGTAGTGTATTTATTTAGCTTAATTATGTTTCTGAAGGTTTTTGGCACGTATATTACATTTTTATGCATTTGCTATTGATTTTAACCATTTGAGATTATAGGCAGTATCCTGATATTCTTATCTCATTGGATGTGGTTTGATCCATATTCAGCTATTCTTGTTCTGTCAACCTGAATAATCCAATTCTGGTTGGGTTTACTTTGACACTATGATACTATCTAGCTGTTAGTCATGCTAATTTGATATTGAGATGCTTAGTATGTGTTAAGTGCATTGATCTGTAGCTGCTTGAGAGTGGAGGTAGTTACCACCCAGGCATTTTTTTAATACATTAGGTTTCCTAGCTTACATTCAACTAATCCTAAGTCTCCAGAACTTGTGGCGATTGAATGATAATGTGAGTCACTACATCAATCCCCAGGTTCTCACCCCCTTTTTTGTACACTCTGTGCATGATGGGATGGGTCTTCATCACCTCTGATCATCCCGTATCCCAATGACACGTTCTTATGTTTATGTGATGTGGTTCTGTCCAACTTGAGTTATTCTTGTTCTGTCCATGTGAAAAATCCATTCTTGTTCTTGAGACTAACACTTGTCAAGCAGGCTAGCAGCTTAATCTTGCTAAAGCCATTGAGATGTTGTAGCAAGGGGGTCATGCTAATTGCCAACCTATCAACAGTATCAAGCACAGTGGATTAGAAAGTAGCTTAGCATCTTATGTTTGAGCATGAGAAATTAATATTTTTATATATGGATGGTTTATGCTGGGATTCAGATAGTCAGTAATTGGAAGCCCTGCTAGTTTTAATTGGGAATATCTTCTTCACCCTAGGCATCGTCAGTGTCTTGATGTTTAGGTGTGCGTGCTTTAAGGTGAATTGACCATTTGAAATCTCATCTGTCTTTGGGTTTCTGCTAATTTTGAAGGAGTTGCCATCAGATTAGCTTATCACTAAAGGATTATGATATGTGCTTGAAGCCAGTTAGTTATTTATCCAGTGGAATCAGTCTAGTATTACCACAATGAATTGCATGCAAGATCACACATGCAATGCTCTGTATATGAATGTTGTTGCAGCCATTTACAAATTATTACAAAATCCATGTCTAAATAACTTTAAAAAACATGTTTCAAAGGACAAGCTTGAGGCGCTTGCCTGCGTGGCTGTTCATCAGCTATGCCTAAAGTGGCAATTGGATCACACTCAAATCTGAAAATCATGAATGGCTAATACAATAATACTAGATATACACAGTTTTATACATAACGCTATACAATTGACAATAGCTCCAGCCGCCTTGTTTATTAACTCTTAATATGATATGATATGCAAATTCCTTAATAATCAATAAATCTCTTGAAATTATTTGATCACCTGACCTCAAGTCATGGCCGAAGGCAACAGGGTGGGTGGGTTCAAACTCTAACTCAAACATCATTAGAATATGGTCTATAAGGTGTGAATTGAGCTTCTAGTAGACATAGTAAAATTGGGGAATGTGAGACTTGCGATTGGTTGGGGTTCAAACTCTACCTCAAACATCATTACAATATGGTCTATAAGATGTGGGTTGAGCTTCTTGACTTCTTATACACATAGTAAAATTGGGGACCGCGAGACTTGCGACTGGTTGGGCTTCTGCATATAGTAAGTTTATTTACCACCTTTAGAGACAAGACCGTGCGACTTACAATTTACCCCTTTAAAAACTTTAGGCGGAGTCCTGCGAACTAAGATTAATCTTGAATAAGTTGAGATTTTTTTTTCCTTAGACTAAAATGATTGTTGAATCCAATTTCACAAATTATTTAGTTATTTTTAATCAAATTTAATTCGGGTTGAGCATAATTAGAAGAGTAGTTTAGCTCAAATCATAAGTATAAAAAGACATTTCAGTCAATCAAATCCACCGTGTATGTGTTTTGGCCTGACGAGGTTCCCGTACGGCCGTACCCAAACCTTGCGGAAGTGTCGAATAGCACTGTGAACCTGGAGTTAATTTGCCATGGAAAAAATGGATATTGATCGCGACACTGAATCCGGAGGTCAATTGAATACTCTGATCGACAAAAGAAATTGTTTCCATTCCTTTAAACTTCTTACCGTAATTCTTTATTTCTGAAATTAGGGGAAAATGGAGGAGCAGAAAAGAAGCACAGTGCAGCAATAATGGTGGTATTGGTGGGTGCGCCGGGTAGTGGAAAGTCTACGTTCTGCGATCAGGTCATGCGCGCCGCCTCTCGACCCTGGGTTCGGGTCTGCCAGGTTCGTCTTCTAACTTTTTTCTTTATGGTGTATCTATGTCTGCGCATGCATCAATACACTCTTCTTATTGTATTTGAGATGTTCGACGAATTTTCTGAACGGGAAATTTCATTATACTCTTTCGTGTGCATATCTTAGTTTAGTCTTGTTTCTTCAAACAGGTATTGTTACTTTGAGTTTCAAATTCGTATGTGTATCTGGTTATGTATACTTTATAGCACTGAATTTTTTCTTCAATCATGGTTTCTCACTTGTGGCTTGGAGAACTATGTTAATTACTAAATGGGGTCTAAGAAGTGTGAGAGACATGGCTAGCCATAATAGAGAAGAGGATTGAAACAAAATACCTGCAATTTGTTATATAAATAGTGTGGGGTTGCTGTGATTTGTAATTGGAATGAGAAGGTTTTTTTCCCAATTGTGTAGGATACAATTGGGAATGGCAAGGCAGGGACAAAGACACAATGCCTGACGAGTGCAGCTACTGCATTGAAGGATGGTAAAAGTGTATTTATAGATAGATGCAACTTGGATATAGAACAGCGTGCAGACTTTATGAAGCTTGGTGACTCAAAGGTTGAGAAGCATGCTGTGGTGCTCGATCTTCCTGCAAAGATTTGTATATCTCGGTCTGTAAAACGCACTGGGCATGAAGGAAAACTGCAAGGTGGGAAGGCTGCTGCCGTTGTTAATAGGATGCTTCAAAAGAAAGAATTGCCTAAGTTGAGTGAAGGATTTGCACGGATTACATTTTGTCAAGATGAAAAAGAAGTTCAAGCTGCTATTGATATGTATTGTGGACTTGGTCCATCAGATTCACTTCCATCAGGTTGTTTTGGTCAGAGGAGTTCAAATGCCAAGGTTCAACTTGGTATAATGAAGTTCCTTAAAAAAGTAGATCCAGCGGGAGATGCTGTCCCTGAGGCAAGCACTGTTTACGAGCATATTCCTGATCAAGAGAACAAAGATAAAAATTCCAACCAAGGAGCAGAAAATGGTACTTCTATGTCAGCTCCTGCCTCCAAGGATGTGAAGAATGGTGAAGACCTAGATAGTAGCTCTACCTGTGCTGCCGGTTCTTCATACAATGTTCCCACCTTAGCATTTCCTTCTATTTCTACAGCAGATTTCCAGTTCAATCTTGAGAAGGCATCTGACATCATTGTTGAGAAAGTAGAAGAATTCATGAACAAACTTGGAAGTGCTAGGCTTGTTTTGGTGGATTTGTCCTCTGGATCAAAAATACTTTCCCTGGTCAAGACAAAAGCTGCAAAAAAGAACATAGACCCTAATAAATTCTTTACATTTGTTGGTGATATAACTCAGCTATATTCTGTTGGAGGATTACGCTGCAATGTAATTGCTAATGCTGCCAACTGGTAAACATTATAAACATTATTACTTGTTGTGTACAGGTCTGTCTCCTCATGATCAGTTGTTAAAGGGAGAAACCAATAATTTCATTGATTATATCCCTATAACCACTGGTAAATTTGCTTGTTAGAAAGATGATCTAAAGATTAGCTTTGTGCAGGCGACTTAAACCAGGAGGCGGAGGGACAAATGCTGCTATATTTAATGCCGCAGGTCTTGCCTTGGAAAGTGCAACCAAAGAAAGAATTGGATCCCTAGCACCTGGAAAAGCTGTTGTGGTTCCTCTCCCTTCATCATCACCCTTGTTTAGTAGGGAAGGTGTAACTCATGTGATACATGTTCTTGGACCAAATATGAATCCCAAGAGACCAAATTGTCTAAACAATGACTATGTCAAGGGCTGCAAGATTCTTTCTGAAGCCTACTCATCACTTTTTGATGGATTTGCATCAATACTGAGGACCCATAGAGAGTTCTCCAAGGAAAGTTCTGAGGATCCATTTAAATCACAAGATCAACAGGGCAGAGGTACTCAGAATGGTGATCAGAAGGCTAAGAGGGAAGCTGCTTTTGAACCTGAGAGAAGCAAAAAATATAAAAGCTTTTCAAAAGAACTTGGACCCAACACCAAGTGTCCTCTTGTTACAAGCAACAACCCTGAGAGAAAAGATGAAAAGCATACAACCAAAACTTGGGGATCATGGGCACAAGCTCTTTATGACATCGCCATGCATCCTGAAAAGCATAAGAATGATGTTTTAGACACATCACAGGATGTTGTTGTTCTGAACGATATGTATCCAAAGGTTAATACTCTCTTTCTTTCCTCCATTCCCTTCTTACCTGAGTCTTTTTAAAAGTGAAGTCCATTCTTCTGGCAGGCACAAAAGCACCTGTTGGTGTTGGCACGAGTTGAAGGTCTTGATCGTCTGGCGGATGTTTCCGAGGAGCATCTCCCATTGCTTAAGACAATGCATGCAGTTGGACTGAAGTGGGCAGAAGAGTTTCTGAACGAAAATGAATCCTTAATATTCCGTCTTGGATACCATTCGGTATGGTTTTTAATTGATTGTTACTTAAATTTACACTATTTGTACCTTCATATCAGTGATATCACGCGTCCCTTCCTGCAGGTCCCCTCAATGCGACAACTGCACCTTCATGTGATCAGCCAAGATTTCAACTCAAAGCATCTGAAGAACAAGAAGCATTGGAACTCATTCAATTCCCCCTTCTTCCGGGATTCAGTTGATGTGATAGAGGAAGTCAGTCAAAATGGAAAAGCTACCTTGAATGATGATGAAAAGGTGCTCGCAATGGAGTTGCGTTGCCATAGATGTCGTAGTGCTCATCCCAACATTCCCCGCCTCAAGGCACATATTGGCTCATGTCAAGCCCCATTCCCTTCTTTCCTGCTCCAAAATGGTCGTCTAGTGTGCACACCAGGTAAGATGCAAATAGGTTCATGAATTGCTCCCTATCATAATCCCATGTCCACTATGAATTCGAGTAACAGTAAAATATCTGTAGTTTTGGCCTTTGTCTCATCTCTTATTTGGAGCATGTTTGGCACATGATTCATCCAATCAAAATGGAAAGTGCAGGAATAGGACGTCATAAAGACTGAAAATGAAGAACATTTATTAAAAAAAAAAAAAAAAAAAAAAAAGATTACTGTTCTATTGTATGATTTATAAAATGTAATATATAGGGATAATAGAGTAATAAACCAAAATAGTCAAAGAGACATAATACCACTAATATATTTGGGAAAAAAAAAATCATTATTAATATATTCACCTGACCTGCATGCTTTTGCATGTGAATGTAGTAATTACGAGAGGCACAGACCACGCAGTTGAGAAAGTTTTAGTGGGGAGCTAGGCTGACACGATGTGGCATCACAAACCAAAAGTCATGCTTTCTCAACCCTTCATTTTCCATGAATTAAACTTTGATAAAGTGATAATGACGGTCATATATTCGCAAAATTTCTAGAAATATGGTACTTGAAGAAAGTTCCAATGGTTAATAGTATTCGCACTCTAGTACTGATTGCACCGTCGTATACGACATTCTCATTCAGAGAAAAAAGAACAAATTTATGTGAGATTTAAGACTTCCACCGAGTATGAAGGCCTGTTTATGATTAGGACATTTCCTATGAAGGCGACAAGTCAAAATTTCCACGCTGGTCGGGCCCTGCCAGAACTGACTACGGTTTAAGGTTATGAATTACGACGCATCATTAAAAATATGAAAGGGCCGATGCCGGTGGGCGGAGAATTTTGAAAAACAGGAATGGTAAAAAAAATTCCGATATACAGATGAGCAATAGTTCAATGATTACACTCTCGTAAGTAAGAGTAGGAAACTTGAAAGTTGTTCAAGGTAGACAAGCCAATCCCCCTTTGTTATTTCCTCCCTCAACGACACTTCACAGTTTACTGAGGGTTTGGAGGCCTGCTGTTAGCTGCAGAGACCCTAGAACCCCATTCAAGCAGCTCTTTGCTCGTATCATCCTTGTGAACAATCACTTCAATAAAGCACAGACAATCCTTCTTGGCTCCGGTTGCAGTCTCAATTGCTTCAACAAGCTCCTCTTCATAAAATACCTTGGCTGTCCAGCACTTGCCCTCACCATTGTGGATTGCATCCATGAATGCAGTGTAGTTCCAGTTCTTGATGACATTGTAAGGTCCATCATGGATCTCTACTTCAATTGTGTAGCCACCATTGTTTATCAGGAAAATGATGGGTCTCTGACCGCAACGCAGCATTGTTGACACATCCTGAGCTGTCACCTACAAGTAATTGACATTATGGTGTAGCCGTGTAGGCGCAGAATACATACATAGCATAATAACATTCTGTTTGTATTCTACAAAGCAAAAGTTATTTACCTGAAAGCTACCATCTCCAATGCAAGAAATCACCCGCTTCTCCGGTGTAGCTTGTGCATACCCAAGAGTTGCACCTACAGACCATCCAATAGATCCATACTGCATTTGGAACTCGTATCTGCAACCAATAGTGAATAGGCTATTAGGTCACAAGGCAATAAAGCAGAAATCTGCAATTTCGTTTGAAATTTGCATTCTTTCTAGTGCTTACCCACATCCTTGAGGTAATTTCAACTTTTGACAATTGAACCATGAGTCCCCTGTCTCAGCAATAACAGCTGTTTCACCTGACAACATTTTCTGGATGTGCTGGAAAAGAACATTGACCCTTAATGGCTCCTTCGGCTCACACTTGAGTGGTTGGCCTTCAGGGACAAAAATCCTAGAGTAATTCTCATAAGCTGTTTTGTTGTGCTTAAGTCTCTTTGCAAGTGCAGAAAGGAAATCCTTCATTAGAACACAGCCAAATGCAGGACCATTGGCAATGGTCACACGATCAGGTTGCACAATGATTGCCTTTTCCTTCTTAAGAAGCAAAGAATAGCCAACCGAGCTGTAGTCGTTGAATATTGGTCCCGCAAACAAGTAAGCATCAGCTGATTCAACAATCTCAGCACAGAAGGCAGTGCTCACTGCACCCCAGTAGGTTCCAATGAAATGCGGATGGTGCTCAGGTACTAGCCCCTTAGCAGAGGGCATAACAGCCGTGGCATACCCACAAGAATCTGCCAACTCAACAAAGGCTTTACAAGCTTTTGCAACCCGCATTTTTGGCCCTCCAACCAGCACTGGCTTCACAGCTTTGTTCAAGAACTCTGCAGCAGCCTCCACTGCTGCCTCCAAACCCATCTGATTACTCAATCTATACAACATAGAAACAAACATAAATCAATTTGATCACATTTATTGCAGAAGATATGACACACATTCAAACAATCAAGAACACCCTATTGATACTACAGCCACCTGATAAACAAAGAATGTAGATCTCATAGGAAATTGCAAATAAGCAGAAAGCTATCATTCAGTCTCCTTTAGACAGAACAATATGAGATATCAACATATGGAAAGCCAAAATTCCTTACAGAGTATATCAAAATGATTTTAGCAATCCTATGTGGCCTACCTACCCAAATTGAGCTTAAACCAAAAGAATATGCACACATATACAAGGTATTCTCAACTTAATATACATTGACTATAAAATATATAGTATCACCATTCCATTTTATCTCCATGACAATAAACTACCATTTCTTAGTTTATTATTAGTAATAAAGCAGTTGATTATTTATGGAAAAAAGATCTAGCACAAAAGCAGAAGGTTGAGAGGGAACATACTTGGGGTTAAGTGAAAATGGAACCGGTTCACGAATAAAGGTGGGATGAGGGATCCCTGCCAAGTTACAGCCGATGCTTATGTAAACCGGCTTGCTCTCCTTCAACGCCGTCGATATCGCCGTATCGATCAACTCGTGAGCATCTTCCAAATTGTTCACCACAGCCTGAAGAAGAAAAGGCATCAATAATATTATACCTAGATTTTATAAATAATATAATGAGGATATTCGATTAAGCAACCATAATTGTGTATCAAGGAGAGACCTGATAGCAAGTAACCGTTTGAAAGCACCGGAGCTCCTGGGTAAAATCGGGTAAACCGATAGTGTGGTGGAGGATCCGGTTAGTTCCGTAGTCGTTCGAGTTGGGACCACCGACGATGCATATGAGCGGGAGGTTTTCACTGTACGCGCCGGCGATAGCGTTGAGGACGCTAAGTCCTCCGACAGTGAAAGTGACGACGCAGGCTCCAACACCGCGGGCCCGAGCATAGCCGTCGGCGGCGTATCCGGCGTTGAGCTCGTTGCAGCAGCCGATGAGTCTGAGCCCCGGCTCCGCAATGAGGTGGTCAAGCAGAGTAAGGTTGAAGTCCCCGGGGACGCTGAACACGTCGGTCACCCCGATCTGGACGAGGCGGCGCGCGAGATGGCGGCCTAGAGTTGCCTCAGCCGAGCTGAAGGCAACGGGGGTTGAGTGAACCGTATTGACGCCGATTGTCGGCGCGTTGGCGACGTCGCCGCTCCCTGGCTTACAAGCTTCGATTGATCCGATCTTAGTATCCATAACAGCAACAAAAGAACAGTTGAGAAATGGTGTAGTATCTTCCTGCTTCTTCTACAACTTTCAGTGGAAATTCGTATAGTGTGTGACACAGCTACGAGAAATGGAAGTGTATATATAGGTGGCGCAAATTGAGGACGAAGAAAACCAGGGGCGGTTTTTATTTCGAACAAAATTACACAGAAAAAGTACTTGTTGGTTTCGTCCTCCAAAATATTCCATTTGTCTCATTTTATCTATCTTACTTAGTATTCATTCGTCAAATATATTTAATAATATTTTTAATATAATTTTTAAATATATAAATTTTATATAATAATTTTAAATTTAATATTATAAAAAATTAAATTATAAATAATTTCAGTAAGTATCTCAGCGCTATACATAAAATGCGATAGAAAGAGTATTTTTTTAATGATACATATTTGTTACACATACAACAGACAAAGATCTAACCTTCAAAATAACTATGTAATAACACCCAACTAATAATAAAAGTTTATTCTTCAAAACAAAATAATAAAATTTTATATCATTATAGACTCAATTTTATAAAATATTCAATGAGTACGTACACATACATGCACATAATTGCAGGCCATAAAATACGAAGCAAAGGTGGCAAAAGACACCAGAAAGGTTAGGTAAACTAACGTGGCATGTCCTATAATGCTATTTAAATATATGGGTTTTTTCAATCATGTTGTTGTTTTTTTGGTATTTTTTTAAAGGCAAATTATTCCATGAGAGTGTATTACTGATCCTCAATAGTGAGACTGGGTTGAATTTTTGATAAATATTATATTTTTCAGTTAAGTATTATAATTTTTATTATAAGTAGTTTTTCAATGTTTAATATTATATTTCATTATTTTGATTTAAAAGTATCCATTATTAGTATTTCATATTTTATTTTTTTCTCATAATTAACTATTCAACCATAAATATTACAAAAGTATTACATTTTTTACTAGTATTACTTTTTCAATATTAATATTACCTTTTTATCATGACTAGACACCTCTCACATATAAAGATCCGTGAGACAACCACACAGGAGACTCATTTTTTTTAAAAAAAAAATAAAAAGTAGGAGCAATTTGATAATTTAATATTTTAAAATTTCATTAAATCAAATGACGTTATTAAAGAGTCATCATATTTTTCGAATTTTAATGAAGTGATCTTAATAAAAAGAAATAAATTTTATTTATTAGGTTAATTTCATAAAAATCCCAATAAGTATAAATGGGTGAGAATGTGTACGTGAGTATGTGAGACTGGATGAACGTGTCAACGAAGAAAACCTTCCGTTGACCATGGAGGTCGCTGATAGTTATTGAGCCACGTTTCATGCTTGGCTGTTCAAACTTTTGTTCCCTTTTTATTTTATTTTGTTAATAAAAATAAAAACGAGTTTTAATTAATTTCCGCCGCCAAGGTGAACTATTCAATTCCTTCCAATAAGAAATTCGAATTTGGTGAGAGCTTAGGCAATTTTAGTTTTTCCTCTAAGGAGACATTCAATGCGAATATGGAGACTTCAATTTGATCATGAATTCTCTCAATCCTTCCACTTCAATTGGTTCATGCATCCCTCACGTACTACTATTCAACAAAATTTCGTGCAAATAAAACATTTTTATATTTCGTTGAGTGAGAGAAGAAAAAAAAAAAAAAAAGAGAAATACTTGTGCAGAAAGTAATTTCCATATAAATCAACAATTATGCGAAGATTAGTAAGTTTGGATCCAGTTTTTTCTGATAATTAAATATGGAAATATAATTAAAAGAGGACAAGTTTGAGTTTGGTGTGCTCGAAAAGCAAAGTCAATAGCGACGAAATATCAGTACTCAATAAGTCCAAATAAAATAAATAAATAAATAAATAAATAAAATCCACTATTTAATGATTATAAAATTAAAATATGTAGGGACTAAAATAAACCAGGATTTTGACGGTATACGAGGTATGAGGAGGACATGATTGGTATTAAAGCGGCGTTACAACAGACGTGGTATTTGAATACTGTGAATGAAACTAACGGTGACGGCTAGAAGGCGGAAACTATGAGCCGCCTCCTTGGATTCAGGTTTCCAAGTGAAAACCGGATATGATGGTGAGTCGCTGGGAACAATCCACAGACCAAAGCCTTCATTCGCACGTTCCAGGAAACGACTCGCCCTACGTTCATCCAATCAAATCCAACCCCTTTTTAAAGCTTTGCCAAAAGTTTCATATTCCATTGAAAGAGAAATCTTTTGTTTCCATCTGATTTTTATTTGACAAATGATATTTTTTCTTTTAAAAATTTCAAAAAATACTTTATACTTTTGGTTCATAAAGTTTAAGTATTGTGATTTTTATTTATTGAGTTGTTAGTGCTTTGACATTTTTAATTCTTACGAATCTATCAAAAAAAATTTTTTTTGAAATCTTAATTGGATTAATGCTCCTAACGAAATTTCGACTTATGATCAGATATATAAACCACTATCAGTTGATTGTACATGTACATCATATATAAACCATAACTTCATGATGGTTTTGTGAGAACCAAATTCGCCATAAATCAGGTATGAAAGTACAAAATTAATAGATTATTGCTTTGTTAGAACCGAGTCCACCATAAATCAGGTATGAAAATACAAAATGAGGATAGAAAATTAGTAGATTATTGCTCGGGGAAGTACAAAACGGGGGTAGAAGGGCACTAGACCCAAAAGAATGGCTACTGCTGCTAAGAATTAAACCCTGATGTATGGGTTGAAGGTTAAGAACCCATACCATTTGACCAAGAAGGATTGTAAGGACCAATGGGTGGTTTCTAAAGGGAGACAAGGCACTGCACCCTACTTATATTATTGAAGAACTCATATGGATGGTTATTATTCTTGGCCACACACGTGTCCCCCTACTACTTTGCTTCCCGCGCACTTTCCATGCATAAGTGGGGCTCCCTACCCTTTACCCAAGATCTTGAGCCGCTTGTGTTATTAGTGCTTGTATTGTTAATCCATTCTTGACAGCACTTTCTTTAATATTTTACTCCTTGCTTCATTATTTCCTTAACAATAAAAATGAACACCTCACTCGGTCAAGATATATCTAGTAAAATGCCCTCAGGTCCCATGTCCTATCACAAACCACTAAGGCTGTCCTTACCCCTGCCAATATCATATTGGCAAGATGAGTTGGACAATGCCATGTATGCTTTTTGTTTTTTTTCTTTTTTTTTTTTAAATAGTGAGTTGGATTGCAAGTTTGCTCTGCATGCAAACTTGCAATCCGTACAAAAGCTTTTTGTACTTTTTTTTTTAGTTTTTTTTTTTAGTTTTTTATTTAGTTTATTTAATTTTGTTTCCTTTCTTTTATTTTATTTGTTTTTTGTTTTGTATTTGGCCATATTAATTTTTTTATATTTAATGTGTAATATTTTTTTAATAAAATAATATATTAAAAGAGAACATAACATTTCATTGATGTAGAAATACAATGCATACAAATTAATTCCACCATACTTACTCATCTAAAAACTTCTTGATTTGCTTATCGTACAATTGTTTTTGCGTTTCGTTCATACTTGATGTATCTAGTTGCATAAGCTGAATGAGAAGTCTATTTTTCTCAGTTTGTTGTTATTGTTGCAACCTTTCTTCTTGTCGCTTCATTTCAGTGTTGTCATAGTTGTAATTTGTACTTGGGTTAATTTTTATGAATTCAATTACTTTGAATTTGTACGGTTCATTTGAGTTTTAGTTTTACAATTCAAATCGTGGTATAATATGCATCCGGTTATATACCATACATAATACAAATAATTTCTTACATTATTCTTTAAAATAAATTCATTAAAATTACGTGTCTAAAATTTATGTGGATAAAGATACATTTTTTTTGTAAGATTGATATACATACATTCATTACTATACATAAATTAATTCATTAATACATACATTTAGTTTTTCCATTAATACATACGTAATTAGTTATTTTCACATTTGTTATATTTAATATTTAAATATAAGTTATATATTGATATAAATAAATAATGTTGAAGACAAAATAATATTTATTAAGAAAAAAATATTAATTTTTTAAAGTGATGTGAAATTGGGGCCCACTTTTGAAGGTTGATTGGATTTGCAGGGATGTAGTGTGAATAGTATATAATTTGCAAATGGGATGATGTAGAAGTGGGACCCATTTTTTAGAGTGAGAAATGTTTGCAGGGGTAAGGAAAGCCTAAGAATTGATTGTATGCGTTATGCATTTTTCACTACTAGGCTGTGAAATTGGAACACAATTTGAGAGAAAAAGGAAATATGATATGAAATTTCATTAAATCTTGATCAATTAGAGTTTTTAAAGAGTCACATTCAAAAAAAAAAAAAAAAAAAGAGTTTTTAAAGAGTCGCTTTGGATACTTAGAAACTCCTAGATAGCCTTTAGGTTCTTTTGGGGTCCTCTCCTCCCAAAATATTAAATTTCATAAAGTGATAATATAACACATAGGCACTGTTGTAAAAATCACCCTAGCTGGCCGCTTAGACGCTAAGCACCCCTAAATCGTGGCAATTTTTTTCTAGGCGGTTATCTAGGCGCCTAACTCGGTCAAGTTAACCGAGTTAACTCTGTCGACTCAGCCTTACTAATTTTTTTCATTTAAAAAAAAAAAAACTTACAAATCTCCAAATGCTTATATACTAATATTCACAACAATGTCAAATCTTACATCCTTTTGTAAATCATATATCGTTGGTAATGTGTAATATAATTAGCTTATCAGCCAATTTTGGCTTATTTGACCATTATTAGTTGTTTCACTTAGTTAAATAATCAATATGAATGTTTGATTAATTAACTTTTGTAACAACGTATTGCTTCAAAATGCTAAAATTCAAAATCCTACTCAAAGTAGTTTTTTATCAGTTTTTTGAGAAAGTCATTTTGCATGTAATTAGCTATCAACTAACAGCTAATTTATTAAAAAAAAATTACAATCAATAAATGCTATCAACTAGTCAATTTCACTAACTCAATTAGCTAACAACTATCAACTAACATTCATCCATTCAAAATAAATTTATAAATTTAATTTAGTTAACAAGTTGAGTATTGCTCTGAATTGAAAGGTACTCGTGCACAAAAGAATAAAGTGTGGAAGTAATGTCATTTCAAACATTTTAATCGAGAGCATAAATGCTTACTATATATACTTGTATACCCCAAGAATCAAAGTGAAGCTACTTTTAATGAGAGACGACAAATCAAAGTAAATATTAAAAGATGAATTTTTTAAAAGTTAGAAGATAATACGTTGTAACATTTTATTTATATATTTATTTTTCTTGGTGTAGAAACACGAAAATAATGAGAAATACGCCGCAAGTAATATGCAATTGAGATAAATTTTGTAATTTGCGATTACACAGATCTTCCTCTCGTGACTAACTTCTTTTTCACGGCAATATTTCTCCGACTTTTGGCTGAATTGGACGGACTACAATCTTCCAACGTGGTTACTTCTCACCATCTCACTTTATATGTTATACATTAAAAAAATTGTTTTAAAAAAAATGCGAGAGTTTAAGTATGATTCTCATACCAAAAGGTCATACGGCAAATGATTACTGTTAACATCTTCTCAGTCGAGTCCGCCGCAGATGCTATAAATTGATTTTGAATTCAATATATGTAAGATTTAATATTCAAATTTATTTTTGGATAAAAACATAACTAAAAGTATATAAACCAATAACATATTAAATTTACTTAACATTTATTGGATGCCATAAATTGATTGAAAAAAAAAAAAAGAAATTATTAACCAATTAACTAATGTCACATTATGATAGACGAATTGGAAGAGGAAAAATAAAAGGTGTATGTAGTATCCACTTATCTGTTCCCTACTCGATCTAGTCTTATTTGCTTCATGAAACTGAGAATCACAAGACTATTTTTGAGATTATTAATATAATTCTAAATATTTCATTTTTACTATCTATTACACTCTATTTAGAATCTATACGTTTAATATATATTACTTTATAACATGAGTAAAATTTATAAAATAATAGTTTTACAATTAAATAAGTCTTAAACAGAAGGAGTCAATAAAAGATTGTGGAAAATAATTTTAGATTATGTTTGATTCGAACATGAGAATCAAAATTGGAATAGGAATCAAATACTTAGTAATTAGAATAAGTTTTGATAATGTATTTTACATCTTTGGTAGTATGGTGAAATTAAAATGATTACTAATATTGATGTTTGGTTATGTATGACTTTATATTGATCTTAAGAGTGACGATGAAGTGCGAGTGAGGAAGTTGATGAAGTGAGGAGGTGATGAAATGAAGAGATCGAGTTAAGACTGAATTAATGTAATGATACCTGATTTAAATTAGGTAATGAGTTTTGTAATTATAGAGTAATCAAATCCTATACCTGTGTTTTAAAAGATTATTAACCAAACAATGTGTATGACTTTTATTCTTATTCATTGTGTCTAACCCCATAAGCCAAACACACCCTTAGTTGTATGAAATTATATAAGCTGTATACATGGAAGACTAATGTCACTACTCACTAAACAGTAAGATTGTGAGGAAATATGGAAAAACACCTAACATTACAACTAAGTAATCAAAACTTAACCTCTTATTAGGAGAAGCATATTGTAAAAAACAAATGATCAATTCAAATCTATACAATATATCATCTAGACTACAACTTCTTCTTTTTTTGAAAATCTCTAGACTACAACTTTGAAATAAGCTGTTTACAATTTACAACTTGTAAGTTGTAACCCAGACTTGCCATAGTGGTAAGGCATGAGGATATCATTTCTTTACACAAGAATACAAAATTGCCAGAGAAGAAAATGCAGTCTGGCTGTTGGCTCTCTGTCCCTTAAAAAATATTCCACAGCCTTTCTTCCTCTGATAGTTAGGCTAAACTAGATGTCAGCTGAACTTTGTGCAATAGCATTCGGTCTGTCTGACCAAGAAATCGTGTTTCCAGTTGCATCAACTTACTTGAGGAGCCATGCCAATGGCTTCTCCCTGCAATTTCCAAACAGAAACTTCTCCAGTTGCATCACCGGTAAAGAACAGTCCTCCAACCCCTATTTCAACTGATCGAACTTCCCTCTTCGCGAATAGTCTGCCCCTTTCGGAAAACCTACCACACATCCAGAGAATCAGCAACTAGGATGAGAAAGAAAGTGAAGCTTTCAACAGAACAAAGAAATATATGGACACTAAACACTTACGATGGCAGGTCATATAAGCGGATAGTATTGTCATTGCAGGAGCAAAGCAATATCGGTTTAGCTTCAGCATCACATATCCCACAAAGAGCTAGTACACCCTGAAGAAGTGGAGAACAATACGGTTAACCTTCAAGTCTAGAGCTGACAGTGTTAACAAATTCATTAACGTTAGGAAAGGTAAAACGCTAACTTACAGTTTCCTCTTTATGTTCATAAAATACTTCTAAGCTCCCATTTTCAGTTGCAGCCCACACCTGAAGGAAATGAGTGAAAAAACAAAAGATTACAAACTGGAGTTTTTTCAGAGTGAAAGCCATCAAAGTGACAACAAAGTAATTTAAACCTTTATAGTGTTGTCCAAGGAACCAGATAACAAGAAGTTGTCCCAGCAAAGGACAGACATGACAACATCAGCATGACCATTTAGTGTCTGTAAGCACTGCAAACTTTCCAGATCCCACATCTGCAACAGAACATTATTCACGAAAAGATTCTCAGTCAGACAAGAATCAAAACTAGATAAACAGTATGCAAGAGAAAGCACCATCCTATGAATAAAAAGCAAATGTGATTCAAGGTGTTGCATCATTAGATAAAACAAAACGGTTGATTAATCATATGACTAGAACAAATCAAATATTGTGGAAAGAAAATCATACTCTGATCGTATTATCCATGGAACCTGAGTACAGCCTATTAGCACCGACAACAAGTGAAAGCACAGCCTGGTTGTGACCCTCCAATGACGAAACAAGCTCTGGACTATTTATTTCAGAAGTGAACTTCCATGCCAATATGGTACCATTCTGTGGCCAAAAGACGCAAAAGTGTTAAACGGAGTTATACGAGCAGGTTTAACATGATAGATCGAAAATGTAAAAGCCAGTCAAAATAAAGCATTCTAACAGCAGTAACTACCTCTGTCCCAGCAAAAAGTTTATCATTGCCGACAGTCATTGCATAAACTTGCCCAGTTGGTCCATTAAGGTTAAACTCTATTTGGGTGTGAACGTTCCAGACCTAAAACAAGGAAACCATTTACAATGACAGAAGAAAAGAGTAAAATGCACTTGGAAGGGAAAAAAAGAAAGCTTAAATGGCAAAAGAAATACTACCTTAACAACATCGGGCAATCCCACAAATACCCATGGACCTTCACCAACTAAGCATCCTACTTCTTTGTCAAACTTAATTACAGAAGCACACTGCATGATAAGGAGAATTACCTTAATATCATTATTATTCCCATGGAAAAGTGTAAAACTAAGATGGTCTACCACAAGTTCTAAATTAAAAAGAACACAAACCTGACCACTGTGGCAGTCCCAAACCCGTACAGATTTGTCATTGCTACTTGAAAAGAGCTGGTTGGAACCAGAGGGAAGAGCAATTCCAGTAATGGCCTAAATTTTTAAAAAAATAAATAAAACATTAAGCTGTGATACGAAAACTTCAGAGCATTAAAACGAAAACCTGACAACAATTTTGATAAGTACCTTGGTATGACCTTCTAACTTTGCCAACAACGAAAACCCATCACCAAATGACCATGCATGCAAGTCCTTACACTTGTCTCCATGAACACAATGGTTAGTAACCCAGTACTGGCATAGCTTTATTTGAGGCTTCTGAGTAACTTTGCCCTTAGATCCAGATCCTCTGGAAATTGAAACTGTTTTTTTGGTCCCTGGTCCTGTTTTGCTTCCAGAATCAACAATTCCATTTGTCAAATTAGTTCCAGTCTTTGGGCTCATGTAGCTTGAGTTCCTCTGAGAAGTTTCGGGTCGAACAGAATGCCTATCATCATCATATATGGTTGAAAGGGTCTGCCTCGGTTGCTGCAATGATGATTCTGAATGCCGAAACTGACAGGGATTCCTATTGCATCTCCCTTGAAGCCAATATATACACACCTTGTTGTATACACGGCCACCTACTCTGAGTCGGTTAAAAACTGATGCCTCTGGTCTTTTTGAAACAGTGTGTACTGTTTTCACAACTGTTTTCACAGCCATAGCAAATAATTTTCAATGTAGAAGATTGGCAAATATGACAATTGTTTCCCCAAATTTCTGATCTGCAAATACAAAAGCCAAGAACAGTATTAGCATCACATAAGACACCTAAATTCTAAAAACATAAAAGTGGATGAAAAACTAAAACATAAAACCATGTGAAGTAGAACATAGTTATGAAGTCCAAGTTTTAAATGATAGCAGTATGCAAATCCTAGAACAATTAAGTCCAAATGTGGATATGAATTCAACATAGTAAATTAGTAATTAATTATGGGTTAATATTAACAGGTTACATCACAAATTATTGAGATAGTTCAACCATTTTGCCCATCAATAAAATACATTATTCTAACTAATAAAATACATCATCTTACCTTAAAAATTTCATTATTCTCACACACATAATTTACTTTATTCTAACACATTTACATTATTTTAACTCATAAAATACATTATCTTACCCCGGTATATTCATTCTTCTAGCATACGCATGGAGTTAAAAAAAATTTAGTTTTGAACCGTGGTCCACACACGGTCCACATAATAATTTGCCTAAAATTTTATATTAAGCCTCAGTAATTTGATCAAAATGGTAAGATGGTATATCGTAAAAATAATAATATATTATATTTTGAATAAAATTTTGCTAAATTTTATTACTTTTTATTAACCTATTATCAACATGTTTACTTCTCAAAGCACGGGTTTAAAATTCAACCAATTCAAATAAACCCAATATAGAATGACCAATTTAACAGTTTTGTCTGATGAATCACGCAATATCTTATCAAGTAGGGCCGTCTCCGATCGCAAGTTTTACTAATGATCGAACAATTTTTGGATCTGCATTGACGATTGCATTCAAGGAAGAAAAAAGGTTCAAATTCATTAACCTTTTGTACAACCCTAAACAATTCCGATTTTCCGTAGCGGTCTGGATCATCTTATCAATCCAATCAAAGAATACCCAAAATATGCACAACCCAACATTAAACCCTAAAGTTGAAAACTTGCAGTTGGAATGTGGCCCAATACTCGCATCCATTGCTTCCGATCCCATCGGTGGAATTGCAAACTCTAAAAGCTAAAGAACTCGAATAGCGAACCTGAGATGCTTGTACAGCTCTGCAGTAAACTGATCAGAATCCTTCTACAGCAAGTTCAGATTGGTACAATCCGAAGAAACAGAGCAACGAGCGAAAACAGGGTTTACGGAATAGCCTGAGAATTACGCGAACAATTCCGAAATTAGCGGAGCGAAATTTGGAGGAAAAGTGGAGGCGGAAATCATATATTTATAGGCTGTCCGGTGAAGGCGGTGATTATTAAGTGGGTCGGGCCGGGACCCATCTTTACCCGATTTTGACCCATCTAATCTAAATAAATTTTAATTTCAATTAATGGTTTGGCACAATAATTTTAATTTTTTGGTTAGACCCTGCGATGTCTTGAGTAAATCTTATTTATAAGAGATACCTAATTAATTTTTTTATACGGGCCAAATTAATTTTTTCATATAAGAAGGATTCAAACTCTCAACCTCTCTTAATGGTTACCAATTTTAATCTCAATTATTGCATTTTTAAAAGTAACTAGATTTAGTTCTAAAGTTATTAAAAAAATCAATTTTAAGCTTAAAAAGACAAAAGTGAAGAAATCAAAATTAAAATTAAGTCATTTTTTAAAGTAAAACTTTATTATTTGTATAATAATTGTCATAAAGAACAAATTGCACTTTTGGTCCTGTGAGTATTAGGGTACTGACAATTTGAGTACGTGACTTTCAAAACTCCCAATTTAGACCTTTAACTATGCAAAAATTGGCAGATTTGGTCCTCCGGGCCAAATTGCCGGCCAATTTTGGCCGGAAAAAACATAAATTGGTTCGAATTTATTTGTGTTGAGGGCAAAACCGTCATTTCACTCCCTTCTTCTTCATTCTCCCTTTCTTCTTCGTTCTTCTTCTGCTTGACCGCCGCAGTGACAAGCCATATACAGTTGAAGCAGCCGGCGGCGAACTCCGGCGACACGCTGGACAAAGACGTGGTTCTCCGGCGCATCCGTCACCGGCGGAGAGTGAACAGGCTGAAATCCACCGTCAAAGCTTTTCTGGGCTTCGGGTCATCCTCCGCTTATAACAAGGATAAGCATAATAAGCAGAGTGGTGTTAATCCTCCTCCAACTTCTCAGATGATTAGCTGGGTTGATGATGCTTTTGCAGCCCCTTAATTAATCGTTCTTAATTATGTATCATAGTTAATTAATGTTTGTAATATATGTTTTGAGTACCCCTTGTTATGTTTTATGTGAGCATTTGTTGATTGTTAGTGGTAGGTGTAGAACTCAAAAAGTTTTGTGAATTATGAGTAGAGTTAATTGTAAATTTGTTTGTACATAATTGTAAAAGATATGAATAAGAAAGGGAGAAGAAGAACGAAGAAGAAAGGGAGTGAAATGACGGTTTTGTCCTCAACACAAATAAATTTGAACCAATTTATGTTTTTCCGGCCAAAATTGGCCGGCAATTTGGCCCGGAGGACCAAATCTGCCAATTTTTGAATAGTTAAAGGTCTAAATTGGGAGTTTTGAAAGTCACGTACTCAAATTGTCAGTACCCTAATACTCACAGAACCAAAAGTGCAATTTGTTCTTGTCATAAACCATTAAAATAATAATATTCAAATATAAAATTATTTTTAATTCTATTTTTCATCTATTTAAGTTAATACTAGTATACTAAATATATATATATATATATATATATATATATATATATATATATATATATATATATATATATTCTTAAAAATTACATTTTCTATTAATTTTGTTTTAAAAGTCAAATCCAAAAATTATTAAAAATTATTTTAAAAAATAGAAAATGTCAATTTAAGCAATAAATAATTAACATGAAAATTAATGGGACAGTGAGTAATTTATAAAGTAGAACCTTTTTTGTATTAGACACTAAATTTTTAGCGAGCATTCAATCACTATAACAAATTTAAATTGTTGTGAACTAGAGATGGAAGTCCTGTTGAGAGAGAGATGTTAGTCCTATGAGTTTAGGAGCAAAGTCCAATTGACTTAAAATTTGGCCGTCAAAGTTGGGATTAATATATAGAAATTGTTGTAAGATCAAATATTGTAGTATTAGTATTAGACGGAGATAATACCAAAATCACATAATAAAAATACCAATAAATATAGGATTTACATTATAGTTTCTGATATGTTACAATCTTTTACAAGTAGAACATTTAAATCTTGTAACTACAATCTCCCATAATATGTACAAAAAAGAACTAAGAACTCAATTCAAAGCTGATGATGAAAGGTATCAGACCGTCCATATGGTCTAACACATCTTCACACCAGGTTGAAAGACAGAATAACTACACCAATAATGATCAAACCTCCATAGCATCCAACAAAGCTTTCACCACCACATACAGATACAACTGATCAATTAATTCAAAATATATTGTTAACTTTGTTTTGCTTTGATTTACCATGTCAAGGAAATTAATGAAATTCACAATTGTTAATCCTATTATAGGCTATTTGCCAAATTTTTGGACTGTGGGGAAGAAAAATATCATAAAAACAGTGGGGGATGTAATCCAACCATGTGCCCAAAAAGACCAAAGAAAATGATAGATCTTGTGGGCGAGTAAATTGGAAAGCTGAAGTGAAAACTCCATTGATGTTGCAAACGTAGAAATTGCCTCAAGACATCATTTGTCTAGGGACAGAGTGCATTTGCTTTCTCAAACTGCAACTTCCTCCTATATTCCCATCTTTTATATCAACCATGTCCAATCCAATCAATGAACTAACAGATACTACATGTCTATGAAGAATGTACCAGTAACAAAGAGCCTGAAACATCAGGTCAAATATTCAGATTCAGGCGAGTGATACTGGATTTCATATTGCAAGTTTTGAGTAAAACAATTGTCCAGATCGGAATATCTCAGAATCTGGACAAGAAGCTGACTTGCTTACAAAAACATGAAAAACAGCATGGTTTCTATCAAAGTTTGAACACAGAGCATAGGACCAAAAGTGGAATTGGACCACATTTTGGGCTGAAAGAAAAAGAAACAGGGCAAATGGTACTATGAATATGATTCCCTATCAGTGTAACTATGACAAAAAGAAAGCTTCATTGGATACAAATCCATAGCCAATCATATCATCATCACATAGAGAATCATACAAACAAAAAAAGAATACAAATAATTCTTTTTGAATTAAAAGTGAGGAACCATATAGTCATGCTAGAGATGGAGGGTGTCAATACTTATAGAGTTCAACAACCTTTGTAGCTCCAAACTTGACCACAGAGAATATAGGCAACAGGGAAAAGAGGGAATCAACAGAAAATCAATCACCTCGGCAAAGTTGCCTCATTTGTGTTTACTTTTCTACTGCAATGAATTTCAATCGCATAGGATTGGGATATGAAAACGAAACAAATTTAATTATTCACAAAACCAATGCCAAATTATACTTCTAAACAATGAAACTTACTAGAGAACTATGAAATGGCGTTATGTTGTGTGTGCGTCGAATATGTACAGAGATCGGGTAGCTATGAGAGCAAAGAGTTGAGTCGGAAGCGGAGGGTGTAGGTTGTTCTGCGGCAGCCTTGCAGAATGTATGTGGTATATATAGCACAAGCAGCTTCTCCAGCTAGGGTTTCCGCCTTTAACTGATGACTGTGATGAGTCAAATTATAATAAACAACTGAAATTATCTCTCAACTTAATTTTATCCAATAATATTTTGTACTATTAAATTTAGAAAAAATGGTCAAATAGACCCCCGAATTTTAGCTTAAAAGTCAATTAGATTCTTAAACTTTTTAAAGGTGTAATTACACACATCAATAATTCATTTAAGGAATAAGGGTCAAATTGGCCACTTAACTGCTCATCACATTGCAAATGGGCCATCAAACTACAAAAAGATGCAATTGGGTACTTGAACTGCGTAAATACATTCAATTCGATCCAAAATAACTTGTTTTACCTGCTGACGTGGCGTTATTGAATTTAAAAATATTTTTTTTTAAATAATTTTAATTAAAATAATTATTTAAAAAAAAAAAAAAAAAAACTTCGTCACCGGCTCGTCTCCGCCGGAGACGAAGGGATGGCCGATTCGTCTCTCCTTGGCCCTCCAACAGAATGATATACATTCCCCCCAATGAACCCATTTTTCCCCCTTGTTTGAGGGACAATTAAACATATGAGAAAAAGGGGTCCAAGTTGTGGCCTGACCTTTATATTTCTCCCAGATACAGAAAACCCCAACAACAAAAATAAACTTCTTTCCCATCAATAATTGGTGGGGGAGAAGAAATTGCTACAGCCTGGAATGCCATTTTGCAATTTTGGCACCGCAAAGTACAGTCGACATAAGCCTCGGGGTACTGAAACATATGATAGCAATACGGGCAAGCAGTCCAGAAGCTAGGAATGTCATTCTTTGGCTCATCTTCCTTCAATTCATCATTATTTGATTCATCTACTCAGATTATCGGTAGAACCACCTGAGCAATAGTTTCTTTCGAAACCCTCATTTTGCTGCAGTGATGGCTCATTCCTTTGCTAATACACAGTAGAGTTCTCGGTGGGAGCAACAGGAGGTGGAGGTGGCGGTTGGGCTCGAACCGAGCTTGGCGTAAAGGAAAATGGTTGTGGTTCACTACTCGAGCCAGGCATATAGACCACTGTCGGTAGTTGCTCTACATTCAAGCTGGGCACGGAGGTTACGGAGGTGGTTGGTCCCTTCGTCTCCGGTTGTCTCCATGGCCTGCAGGTAGAGACCTTTTTTTTTCCTTCTAAATAATTATTTTAATTAAAATTATTTCAAAAATTATTTTTATATTCAATAACCGCCACAACTGGTAAAACAAGTCATTTTGGGTCGAATTGGTGTATTTACGCAGTTCAAGGACCCAATTGCATTTTTCTTTAGTTCGATGGTCCAATTGCAATGTGGTGTGCACTTGAATGGCCTATTTGACCTTTATTCCTTCATTTAAATACAATGAAACCCAAAAATAAATTAATGACTTGCTATCACAAGTCACTAGGGTTCAGGCCACCTTCTGACGAATTTTCGGACAAAAAAAAAAAGTGACCGACAAAATTTTCCTCAAAAAGGTGACCGACGAACAGTCGCCGATCATGGAGAAGGCACCAAAGTCGCCTTCTCTGTGGAGAGGTCACCTTCTCCAGCGAGAAGCGACCCAGATTTGGGTAGCCTTCTCGCTGGAGAAGGCAACCCAAATGTGGTACCTTCTCCGTAGAGGAGGCGACCCAGATCTGGGTTGCCCTTCT